CCGGACGCCCCCCGCCGCCCCGCACGCATCCTTAACTCTTCCCTCGCCGCCGCACACTCACCAACGCCGCCTGCCGGGGACCAGGCGCCCCGCGGGGGCTGGCCGCCACCTCTCCTCGCGCATTTTCGTGGGGATCCCCGAACCTCCCCTCCCCCAGCTGGCTCCCAAGTATGGGAACCTCTGGAGGGGGCTCCCGGCTTGGGGCGGAGCCGAGCTGCGCAGACACCTGCCTCCGGCTGCCCCCACCACCACCACCCATGGGCCCGGGCTCGCCCTCCTCTGCGCAGCGCTGGGCAAGGTCCCCCTCCGAGGCCAGGCGCCCCACTCCCGCGAGGACTCCGTCCTTATTCATTTATTTATATACATACCTTTTGAAATTTTTTGGTAAGGGGAGGCTCAGCGGAAGCCCCGAGTTATAATTAGCCTCCCTCGGGTTTCCCAGTTAATCTCCAGCACCAAGCATCCCGCAGCGCAGGGAGGTGGGGGCTGGGCGAGGGGTGACCGCCGGGAGAGGGGGGCAGTTCTGACCCGGGGAATGTTGATCCTTTGGCCGGAGATGCCGGAACCACAGCAGCTGCTGCCCCCAAAATAGCGCCCCCGCCCCTGCAGCCCGGGAGCTCCGGAGCTCCGGGAGCGCAGGCGTCCCAGCTCTCCCTGCAGGCCCCTTGGCCGTGCGGGCGGGCGCCCAGACCCCAGCCCCAAGTACCCGGAGCCCGGCCTGGGGCGGGGATCGATGCCCTTCTCTCGGTCTCTACCGCCGCCGCCTGGCGACCGCGTGCACCCAACGTGGGACGCCCAGGACACTGGAGTCCTGGAAGCCGAGGAGGGCTGGCGAACCTGTTTGCTGGAGCCAGGCGTGGGGGGCGGGGGGGTGGGGGGGGCGTGCAGCTAGCTGCCGGGAACCGGCGGGTCCCTGCGCTCTGGGCCAGTGGATGAGGCAGGGCGGAGTGGGGCCGAAGGTGCAGCAGGAAGTATTTGGGGTGTCCCAGGACCTACGACTCCCACAGCCTGAATACCCAACCCAGTCCTTCAGGGCCCCGGCCCCAGACAACCCAGGAGAGGCTTGGGCTGCGCCTGCACGCCGCCCCTCCATCAGCTCCTCGGGTCAGTGCGGGCCCCGCCCCTGCCGTGTGGCCTGTGCGTGGACTGCGGCCTCCGCTGCCCGCACTGCACGCACTGGGCCGGGCCCAGTCCACCCAGCGGGGAAGGAGGTGAGGGCAGAGGGCCCCCCTGTGGGGCAAGGGGAGGGAGAGTCCTTGCCAGAGCCGTTGAGCTCTGTGGCCTGGGTTGGGCTGTCTGGGTGGGTGTCTGCCTGGTCTCTGCCCTCTGGCATTTTCTGTCTGCCTGCATCCTTGGCTCTGCCTGCCTCCCTTCCCCCGCCATCTCTCTCCTCCTGGCTGCGGACCTGCCCCACCTCCTCTGCTGCTCCGTGATAACCCCAGGGCCAGGGTACCACCCAATCTCCCTGCGGGCTGCCTTGGCCCTTAAACCCGCTGCCTTTTCTTTCTCCCAACAGACACCCGACTGCCCTGGCAGCCATGCGGTCCCCGTGGTGTCCCCTGCAGACGCCCTCACTGGCTCCCCAACTGCTCCTCCTCCTCTTGCTCTTCGGAGGGGGTGCAGGGGCTGAGGCCCGGGAGGATCCAAATCTCCTAGTGACCGTGCAGGGGGGCCGGCTGCGGGGCATCCGCCTGATGACCCCAGGGGGCCCTGTCTCTGCTTTCCTGGGCGTCCCCTTTGCAGAGCCACCTGTGGGCCCCCGACGCTTTCTGCCACCAGAGCCCAAGCGGCCTTGGTCAGGAGTGCTGGACGCCTCCGCCTTCCAGCGGGTTTGCTACCAGTATGTGGACACCCTGTACCCCGGCTTTGAGGGCTCTGAGATGTGGAACCCCAACCGAGAGCTGAGCGAGGATTGCCTCTACCTCAACGTGTGGACGCCATACCCTCTGCCCACGTCCCCCACCCCTGTCCTTGTCTGGATCTATGGGGGCGGCTTTTACAGCGGGGCTTCATCCCTGGACGTGTATGATGGACGTTTCCTGGCACAGGCAGAGGGGACGGTGCTGGTGTCCATGAACTACCGGGTGGGCGCCTTTGGCTTCCTGGCCCTGCCAGGGAGCCGGGAAGCTCCAGGCAATGTGGGTCTTCTGGATCAGAGGCTGGCCCTGCAGTGGGTACAGGGCAACGTGGCAGCCTTTGGGGGGGACCCAACATCTGTGACACTGTTTGGGGAGAGCGCAGGTGCCGCCTCGGTGGGCATGCACCTGCTGTCCCCTCCCAGCCGGGGCCTGTTCCACAGGGCTGTGCTGCAGAGTGGAGCCCCCAATGGGCCCTGGGCCACTGTGGGCATGGGAGAGGCCCGCCGCAGAGCCACACTGCTGGCCCGCCTCGTAGGCTGCCCTCCAGGTGGCACTGGGGGCAATGACACAGAGCTGGTGGCCTGTCTGCGGACCCGGCCAGCCCAGGACCTGGTTGACCACGAGTGGCACGTCCTGCCTCAAGAAAGTGTCTTCCGATTCTCCTTTGTGCCTGTGGTAGACGGGGACTTCCTCAGTGACACCCCTGAGGCCCTGCTCAGCGCTGGCGACTTCCAGGGTCTGCAGGTGACTGGTGGCTGGAGAGGGTGGCGCTGGTCCTCCTGGGTCCTTTCTGCCCACACCCCATCCCCCAGGGACCCACTCCCAGAGGCCCAGGCTTCCAGACCCCCCTCCCACTCCTCCTCCCTGAGGACTCAGGCGGATCACACACTCCCACCCCAGGGTGGTCAGAGGAATGACCATGTGGGCATAGCGTCTCTTTCTCTCCATCCCCTCCCCTGTCTCATGCTCTCTTGCTCCCTGATTCTGGGTCTGTAACTGTTCATCTCTCTGGCTTTTTGTCTGTTTCTGTCTGCCTGTCTGTCTGTGTTCATCCTGTCCCCCCAGGTGCTGGTGGGTGTGGTGAAGGATGAGGGCTCCTATTTTCTGGTTTACGGGGCCCCAGGCTTCAGCAAGGACAACGAGTCTCTTATCAGCCGGGCCCAGTTCCTGGCCGGGGTGCGGGTCGGGGTCCCCCAGGTGAGTGACCTGGTGGCCGAGGCTGTGGTCCTGCATTACACAGACTGGCTTCACCCTGAAGACCCCGCGAGGCTCAGGGAGGCAATGAGTGATGTGGTGGGTGACCACAACGTGGTGTGCCCCGTGGCCCAGCTGGCTGGTCGACTGGCCACCCAGGGTGCCCGGGTCTATGCCTACATGTTTGACCACCGTGCCTCCACGCTCTCCTGGCCCCTCTGGATGGGGGTGCCCCACGGCTACGAGATCGAGTTCATCTTTGGGCTCCCCCTGGACCCCTCGTTAAACTACACCATCGAAGAGCGAATCTTTGCCCAGCGGCTGATGAGATACTGGGCCAACTTTGCTCGCACAGGGTCAGCAGTGCTGACGGGGAGGGGAGGATGGGCTTTGGGGGCCAGGGAGGCTACCAGGGGAGGGGGATGGAGTGGACGTAGTGAGGGTTCGGGGATCAGAGACAGAAGAGGAGCGATAGAGAAGAGAGGTTCACAGAGAAAAAGGGCAGAGAAGAGTCGGGGAGAGAAAGGGGTGAGCTGACCAACTCCTAAAGAAAGGACAGAGGGAGGGAGGCTGAAGGTCATACTTTCGGAATCCACCCACTGCCTTGGCGGCCATACTGCCTCGAAAGCGACACCTAAGGACAGTCAGACTGCCCCACCGGGTTTCCGAGACCGGACATCTTCCTGGAAGCAATCAGCCTCATCTTTCTCCAGCAAGAGGCTGGTGACATCCAACTCCCCACCTTTCACGGTGCAGCCCTGCGGCACCACCCACTGCACCACCAGGGCTCCTTAAATTGGGCCAGTGGTTGGTAGATCAGTGATGTCACCACGCCCGCTGCAGAGAACCATAAACCCAGCATCCCATGGATGTTGTCAGAAGTAAACTGTGTTGTTGGCTGAGATAAGACCGGCCGGCCTGGTAACGGATTAAGTCAAAACCCACTGCCGCTGAGTCCATGCCGACTCATAGCGACCCTACCGGACAGGGTAGAACTGCCCTTGTGAGTTTCCAAGACTGTAACCACGGGATTAATAAAGAGCACCAGTCGTTTTAAAGGGAGAGACGCCGGTGGAGAGGGAAAACAGAGGGGAAAGGAGAGACAGAAGAGGGGCAGGTGGAGACTCAGCGGGGCGGGGGGAGGTGGGGCAGCGGAGGGTTGAGGAAAATGGGCTCTTCCCTGGAGCTAAAGACACCCGGGGAAGAAAGGAAGCCCTGCTCCATCTCCAGTCCCCATCCCTCACTCCACCCCAGGCAGGCTTGCAGGGGGCTGAACCTCCCCTTTCCTCCCGCAGGGACCCCAATGAACCCCGGGACCCCAAAGCCCCGCAGTGGCCACCATACACCGCGGGCACACAGCAGTACGTGAGCCTGAACCCGCGACCGCTGGAGGTACGGCGCGGGCTGCGTGCCCAGGCCTGCGCCTTCTGGAACCGCTTCCTGCCCAAATTGCTCAGCGCCACCGGTACGCTGGGGCCAGCCTGAGCCGGGTCCGGGGCTGGGGTGAGGTGGGGGGGCCGAAACGGGGCCGCGGAGAGTGAGCGGAGTGGGAGCCGGCCTGGTGTAACCCCTCTCTTCTCCCTTCCCCTCCCGCCCCCCCAGCCACGGAGGCTCCCAGCACCTGCTCAGGCCCCGCCCACGGGGAGGCCGCCCCGATGCCCAAGCCCGGCCTCCCTCTCCCCCTCCTCCTCCTCCTCTCCCAGCTCCTGCGGTGGTGACTTTGACCTCTTCTCAGGGACCCCTCTGCCTCAGCCGGCCACACTCGGGGGCCTCCGATCCAGAGCCCCGCTTCCTTATCAAACCAAGAGAATCAAACTGGACAAGGGGAGGGGGCGGGGAGATAAGTGACCCAGGACCGTCTCAGGGATCCACCCACACACCTTTTGTTGCTTAAATGGAAAAGCCAAACATCTTTATATAGAAAATGAACCTTTGCAGTCTGAGCCTATTGTTGTGGGCAGAGGGAGGACCTGGGGCTAGATAGCATCCCAGTGGGGCTGTAACGGTCAATCATTTGTCTCTTTTTTCCCCTCACCCACCCACTGATCCGCCCTCTCTGTCCTGTCTTCCGGTCACTTTCTCCTCCCTCTCCTTCCGGCCATCCTTCTCTGACCCTGCCTCTACCCTCACCCACCCTGGTCTCCCGCCTTTCATCTATCTATTCTCCTGAACCTCTTGGCATCATCCCACGTGGCCCTGTGCCCTCCTTGCGTCCACGCCCTACCCACCCCCCACCCCCCAATGTCCATTCCCCGACCTTCCTTCTCCCACCCCTGTGTCGGCACCCTGCCCACAGACACCCTGGACGAGGCAGAGCGCCAGTGGAAAGCCGAGTTCCACCGCTGGAGCTCCTACATGGTGCACTGGAAGAACCAGTTCGACCATTACAGCAAGCAGGATCGCTGTTCAGACCTGTGACTCAGGCGGACCCCAGCTCCCCGTCCCGCCCTCTAGTTGTATATACTATTTATTTAAGGGCTGGGATATAACACGGATGAGCCCCAGGCCCTTTCCCCACTTTTCCCCCGGGGCACCCTCTCCTCTGCATGTCTCAGGCCGAGCTCCCTCCCCTGCGGTGCCTTTGCCTCTCTGGGCTGCCAATAAACTGTTACAGCCACAGGAGTGTGCGACTGGGGAGCCGGGTAGGGGCAAGGTCCCTGGGTTCCAGTAACTGCAGCCGAGAGCTTCCGAGGCTAGTACCCGGAGCTGGGCGCCTGCGCGTACAGCTGCGCCCGAGCTGATTCCCGCCCCGCCCCGTATCCGGGCTGCGCCTGCGCCGCAAATCGGCGAGGCGGAGGGTCGGGCGCCACGGTGCATTGTGGGAGCTCCTCGTCTTCTAGTGCCGCGTGAGCGTCCCCAGAGCCCGCATACCGGCCCCGCCCAAGCTAGCCCACGACTTGGGGCCCAGAGGAAGCGTTGGGGCCTCTAGTCCTCCCCGGAATTCCCTCCTCGCCCCCAGGAGTACGTGTTTGCTCGGTCCCGGCGCCCGCCGCCCGCCGCTGCAGCCAGCCGCCCTGGAGCCGCTTCGAGACGTCCATCTAGGCCTGGCCCTGCCATGTGCTGGTTCCGCTCGCCTGGCCCTCCTCTCGGGCCACTATCTCTACTACCACTACGGCTGCGATGGCCTGGACGATCGAGGCTGGGGCTGTGGCTACCGCACGCTGCAGACCTTATGCTCGTGGCCTAAGGGCCACACCGAGGGCGTGCCGGAGTTGGCAGCAGTGCAGGCAGCCCTCGAGGACATGGGCGACAAGCCCCCCGGATTCCGGGGCTCCCAGAGCTGGATCGGCTGTGTAGAGGCCAGCCTTTGCCTGGCCCACTTTGGCGGGCCCAAGGGGCGCCTGTGTCACGTACCCAGGGGCACAGGCCTTCAGGGGGAACTGGAAAGGCTTTATTCCCACTTTTCTGAGGGTGGGGGGCCTGTAATGGTGGGAGGGGATGCTGATGCCCGAGCCAAGGCCCTGCTGGGAGTCTGCCTGGGGCCAGCCAAGGAGGCCTACGTCCTCGTCCTGGACCCTCACTGCTGGGGAGCTCCTGCAAACCCTGGGGAGCTCCAGGCTGCTGGGTGGGTGAGCTGGCAAAAGGTGACCACTGCCTTCGACTCCAACTCCTTCTACAACCTGTGCTTGACCAGCCTTCACTGAAAAGCAGCCACTGCTGTGGGACTAAGGAAGACCCCAAACCGAGGCCCCTGGCCACCTTTCTATGGCAGAGTTGGTTACTTGATGTCAAGTCCCATGGCAGTACCGCCCCAGTAGAGCCTGGGCATTTGACACCAATAAAATGGCCCGTCCTGGCTAACAGTGGTCCCAGCCAATCTGTGGGAGGGCTGGGGGCTGGAACAGAATCCATACTCAGGCCTAATAGAGGAGAGGCGCTTTTATTGGCAGGAGGGTTGGATGTACAAAAAACTCTCAGCTGTATGGACAGGGCAGTCACAAAGGAACAGAGACGCACATGGATGGTTCAGAAGAAATCCACATCGTCTGGGGCATCCAAGTCCCGGTACTCCACAATGGCCCGTGGGTCTCCACGAACCATCCTAGGAGATGAGAGGGAAAACAGGATGAGACCCAAGGCTCCCTTAGGGCGTTGGAAGAGGGCAACCAAAAGCTCGCACTCCACAGCTCATTCTCACCTGTTGCGGGGTTTCCCAGGGTAACCCCCTTGGCCTCGAAAGGCATCATAATTCCCTCGGCCAGCACCATATGGAACGTGGGGGTAAGGAGGTCCTCCTGTGGGGACTGCAGGGCGGACAGCACCAGCTATGAAAAAAACCATCACCTGAGAAATGACCCTCAGTATGTCCTAGCTCAGTTTTCTCAGGCCCAGCCCCCACCCCCACCCCTGCAACCAAACCAATAGCCCTACCCTCTTCCCTCCTATGCTTACCTCCATAGCCTAGGATGGGGGGCCGAGGCTGACCATAGGGCATCAGGCCTTGGGGCGTCTGGTGTGGGTAGGGGAGTCCCGGAGTCAGGCCTGGGGGGAGTACAACACGGACAGGAACATGAATTACTGGGGAGAGGGGAGGAGAGAAAACAGTTCTAAGAATAAGGCTGCATGGTGGGATAGAAACTGGGAGAATTTGGGGTAAAGGGAGTCCCCAGACAGGTGGGGACACACGGAAACGCAGTGGACCCTCGTGGATCGTATCTTACTCTGGGCAGGGCCTGGTGGCTGCGCTGGCTTAATCTCGGGCAGAGCCGGACGCTTGGCATCAGTGAGGAAATTGTTAAAAAAGGCCACCTCCTTCTTCACTTCTTCGATTTTCTCTGCGTGTTTGTTAAAGATATGCTTGCGCACAAACTCGGGGCCCTAGGCGAAGAGAAGCGGGTCAGGACAAAGGAAGGAGTTGGGTTTCCCAAATCCTCTGCACAAGGAGCCCTGTGGCACAGTGGCTAAGCACTTGACTAGCAATGGGCTTGAAATCTCTCCAAGAATCTACCCTTCTCTCCTGTCAGGGTCCAGATAGCGCCCCAGTTCCCTTCCCACGTGGTTTCCCTTCCTCGCCTCCACAGTTCTAGCAAATCAACTCAATGTCACAGACCTTGAATTTCTTGCCACTCAGGGGGCAGAGCCACTTCTCCTTGCCCAGTTCCTGGGTGTTTGAGGTGACAAATTTTTCCACTTCCTGCTCAGGGTCTTTGCGACCCATCTTCTGGGCTTCTTCCTCAGAAAGTGACTCTCGCACACTCAGCAGGGGTGTCAGCTTCTCCTCGAACGTCTTCTGCCACTCGAGCACTGTGGTTTGGAGAGCGCGGGAAGTGTGGGATACTAACACTGAGAGAAATAGACTGGGACTTGCCTCCACCCCCCCACCCCCCCCACGGAAGCAGGATGGAGACGGCCATGGCCAAGCTTTGTGGGTAGAGCAGAGCTAAAAGGACAGCTGGGCAGAAAAGGGGAAGCTCTTGGGGCTTGGGAGGAACAAGGAGGGATCTAGCTCACCTTCACCATGACTGATGCGATTGGGTGGCATGGGGCCCCGGACATGGACGATGCCACAGCGGTTGGGCATTTCATCCTCATTGGGGTACTCGCATGTGTTATAATAATCCAGAGAATGTACGATGCGCAAATAGAGGAGAAGTTTGTCCAGAACCTGAACAACAAGGAGACTAGGTCCAGCCCTTGGTCGGTTCATCTGGCTCCTCCCCAGCGATGCTCACCATGCCCTGAGCCCAAGCGACAGAGACCACACCTTGATCAGCTTCTCATCCCGCTCCACGTTGATCTCAGCCGGATTCCCTTCTTTTGGAGGCTCTTCCGGGGGCGCCCCCCCACTGCTCCCTAGCAGCTCCTCCTCCTCAGCGCTCACCTCCTCAATCAGGTAGTCAGTGATATTCTTCAAGATTGGGTTCTGAGAGGGCAGGTTCTGGGAGGGAGAAGGGGTGGAGGGATGAGAGGCCAGGCAAGGTGGAGATCCCAGGAGCCTCACTCTTTGCCTTGCGAGTCTCCTTTTTTGTCTCTCCTATCCTAACACAAATAAGGAGCTGGGCTTGTGTGGTTGTTACTTAATCTGTTGTCAATTTGAGACTTCAGAGTGAAGAGGTGGAGTTTAGCCTGTCAATCAGGTTGCAGCTTGATGACCTCATTTGGAGGCATGATGGAGATAAATAGCTTGTTGGAGGCGGGACATACTCCCTGCAAGACATTACTGACAAAGAGCCTGATGGAGCTACGCTGATGCAGCAGGGCTCTGGGAGCTGAAGGAGCCACATGGAGACCCCTGCCAGCACTGAGATGCTTCCACTGTCACTGGATGCACAAGACTTTCTACCCACTGGGCTGCTATATTCCTGTGGTCGGTGTCATGCATGTGCTATGTGAGTCTACAGAGTAATTTATGGACTAGTATTGGACATACGGGCTAATATTGGACTAATGCACTTGATCTGGGCTGGAGTGCTTTTCAATATTCAATTGCTCTTGTATATAAAGCTCTTTCTTATACACGAGGGTCTATGCATTTGTTTCTCTAGGCAACCCAGACTGACAGAGCTTGCTAACTGAAATGTCCCACTTTGGGTCCACTGGTTTCCCTGCAAGAGAGCCGTAGAGCAGATCTACCTTATCCAACTCCAAACTCACTGCCACGGAGTCACTGCTGACTCACAGCAACCTCCTGTGGACTTCTGAGACTGTAGCAGTTTACAGAAGCCCGGTCTTTCTCCCGAGGAACTGCTGCGGGTGGTTTCAAACTGCCGACCCAGCAGATCACAGCCCAACGCGTAATCACTACACCACCAGGGCTCCCATTCTACCTTGTAGTAATCAAAGTCAACTTGACAGTGCACACAACCCCTGTTCTGTTTGGTACCCCCACAAGAATTCCCAGTACGAGTCTGTTCTGTTGAGAGGGGTGAACCAGAAGCGGATGGGTACAAATAACCCCTATTACAGCTCAAGCAAGGCCCAAGTGCCAGAGTATTAAAGGCGCTTCAAGGGAATGCACAGGCGCAGACACTGACCGCCGACAGAGGCGGCGTCCCTGGCTCCGAGGCCCAGAGCTGGGTCCTGTCATCCAGCGTGTGGATCAGCTTGGCTGCCAGTTTGATGTCGTTGCGCACAATCTGCTTGTGCTGGGTGATGCCGTTGATGTTTCGGACCCGCCGGGTCAGATCTCGGTTGACACCAGGACTCAGCTCGCACTCCCGGAGCTATAGGAAGCAGGTCACCCATCACCCAGGACCACTTCCCCAAGAAAGAGCCCCCTCCACCACTGCCCTTAAGGCACCCCCATGAGCTTCCTGGGACTGACAGGGACCCTCGGTCCACAGCTCACGGGAGCAGAATGAATGAATCCATGCGGAGCCCGGAGAGCCAAACCCCTTCTCAAAACTCACTCGGATATTCTGCAGGTTCCAGCAGATCTCCTTGATATTCACACTTCGGTCAAAGGTCACCCAGCCACGTCGGAAAAATCTAATGGAGAGAGAGGAACAAGAACATTCCCACAGGCCAGGAAAGGGATAGGGGGCGGGGCGGGGAGGGCCAGCGTGTAGCTCCCGCTTCTTTCTTTGTGATCCAAGTCCTCACCTCCTCTCCGGTTGGGGCTCTGAAAGCGCCACCCGCATGAAGCCTGGATATCTTTTACAAAGCTGGGAGGGAGAGGACAAGAGAACTCAGTGAGCAATGGCATGGGGATGCCGCCCTTCTCCCACCACTCTCCCGTTCTCACAGCTCCAGGGGGCGCTGCAGCCTTGAGCTGTGGCCCTCTGCAGGCCAGGGGAAAACCAGTAGAGGGCTTAATCAGGCCGACACCTGCCAGCCAACGCCACCATCAGGGTTAGCCACCAAAGGGTGGAGCTCCCCGGGAAGGCAGAGACCACCTAACTACAGACATAAGGGCCTCCAGAAGTGGGTGGGGAAACTCCCCGTTCTCCTTCAATGCCACGTTTCCACAAAGGTGCAGTGCCTGGTGCCTTCCCACTCCCCAAGGAATGTGGCCTGGGTGTCACCTCTGTTCCAGTGCCACCTCCCCGACTCACAGATATGATCTCAGCCCGGGAGATGTTGGGGGCGATGTTGCGCATGAAGAGGGAGCAGGTCTTGTGCAAGGGCCGGGGCTTACATTCCAGCCCTGGGGCCTCCTTGGGCTTCTCCCTCTCTTCTTCCTTGGGCTTCTCCTTCTCCTTGAGAGCTTCTAGCAGGTGGAGAGGGTAAAGTCAGGGGTGCTGGTCAAGTTCTCTGTTGGAGTTGGAGGGGAGGAAACAGAAGCCTCCGCAAGCCAGCACCTCCTCCACCCCATAGACACCACTAGCCTTTCACAGGCCCCTCCTCCCACCCACCCCCACCGCCCTATTCAACCGGAAGAGACTGGACCACAGCAGACAAGGCAACCTACCAGCCTCCTCCTTCTCCTCCTCGGCCTGTCCACCCTCGGACTCGGACTCAGACTCGGACACGCTGCCCTCATCAAAGCTGTCAGCGCCACTGTGCTTGCGGTTCCGCTTCTTGCTGCTCTGTGGGGGTCACCGCAGGAGGGGAGGAGTCAGTACCCAAGGCCCTGCCCCAATATCCCCACCCCATAGAGGAGCTGCCCTACCTTTTTGCCATCTTTCTCAGAGTCTTCTTTCTTCTCGTCCTTGTCCCCGTCGCCCTCCGATTGCTTCATTTTATCATCATTAGGGCTGTCATTCTCAGCCTACAGGAAAAGACGAGCACTGCAGATGTCAATGCTCCTCCCTTTCAGGCAGTGGCACCTCATAGCTCAGCCCAGAGGCTCCTTTCTATCCCCGCCCACACCACCCCAAGCCTCCACCCCACCGAGCACCAGCCCCTTGGGAGACACACCCCACCCCTGAACATCTACCCCGCTGTTGCCCGCCACTCAGACCTGTTTGCCATCTTCGTTCTTGCCATCCTTGTCATTGGCCTTGTGCTCACCATCCCCCAGCCCTGGCCCAGCCCGGCCCTCCTCTTTCTTGGCAGGGTCCCCAGGCTTCCCCGCCTGTTCTTCCTCCTCCTCCTGCTCCAGGATACGCAGATCATTCTCTGTGCCTCCTTCCATTTTAATCACAGCTGCAACAAGAAGAGCAGTCACACCCCCAGGGCCCTTTCCCTCCAGCCTGTGGGTTTCAGTCTTCTAGTTACCCCCAACAAGAATCCGCTCATCCAACAACCCCCATCCCCTTGCCACCCCACCCCCCGAATCTCCACACCTGCATCCAGCATCTTCACAATGGCATCTGCTTTCTCTATGTCCAGGAGAAGATTATCAAACCAGCCACTCTCCATGAGAGAAAGGAAAACCCGCAGTCGGTTTTGCAGGCCCCCTCGGGCCTCCTGCCGACGCTTCCCGACCTCATCTGGGTGGTACTTTGATCGAAACCTGGGAAGGATGGGGGGGGGTGGGGGGGACAAAAACAGTCATGGAGGAGCCAGGGCAAGGATGTGAGGAGGGGCCCAGCAAAGTCAGGGCAGAGTCCCCAGCCTCTCACACCCACAGAAGATCATCAGGAAAGCGGAGGAGGAGAGAAGTACACAGAACCACCCAGTCAATCCCACAGGGAACCAAAGGGGGTGCTCTGAGAAGATCTGGGGGAGAAGCAGAAACTAAGAGCTCTGGATTTGGGAAGACAGGACTGCGGGCAAGGCCAGGCCTGGACAAGCAGATGGACTGCCCCAGAATACTAGAGTGGGTGGCTAAAGAAGCACCAGGCCATCCCCAACCTCCAGTCCTTAAGAGACCTGCTCCCACCAAATCCCTCCACCCGTAGGGGGGAGACACAGGGGCATTGGGAGTGCACCGGGCAGAAAAAGGAGCTCTCTCTCCCCCTCCCCTTGGAAAGACCAGCAAGATGGTGGAGGGACAGGGACAGAGAAAAGGGAAACCACAGTGCCCTCACGACCTCGGGTCGGTCCTGCCCGTGGGGAGAGAGCGGAGAGAGGAGCAGCACAAAGGGAACATTTAGAAAAGGGCCTTGGGGGTGGGGGAGAAGAAATGAGAGAGGAACGGGAGGGAGACGAGGAGAGAAAAGGGAGAGGATGAGAAATTCCCCGAAATTGACAACAGAGGGAAAAACTGAAGCCCAGACAGAAATGGAAACACAGAGAAGGCAGCGAGAGGGCGCAGAGGGGTGACAGAGCGAGGAAGAACGAATGGAGAGACGCAGACGAGGACGGAGAGGGAGAGCACAGTGCCACATGGTCAGCAGAGAGAGGAAAGGAGAAGCCGCAGGCATCACCTCCAGGATCTTTACCTTGGCTGCTTGGTCAAACAGAGCTCAAGATTTAACTAGCCGCGCCCAGGGCCCATGCTGGCTGGTGGGCCCATGCCGGCTGGCTCCTGGCTGGGGCTTCCCGGCCGGGGTGCCCCGCCCCCGCGGGACTTCGCGGTGGGGGCCCTGACTGACTAGCTGCCTGAGCAATCACATTCAGCTAGACCACTGCATTGTGCACAGCGGTGCCCTGCCTGTCTGCCTGGCCGGGGCAGCGCGGCTCAGCCCAGGGGGGGCTCATGTATGGGCTGGGTATGGTGGGGGTGGAGGTGGGTTTGCTCCGAGCTCCGTCGATGAGCTGGTGTAGTCCCCAGTTCTGGCTCTTTTCAAGGAAGAGGAGCAGAAAGAGGATGAGGAGGAGCAGGAGGGGGGAAAAGATGGTTGATTAAAATTAAAACATCCACAAAAGGAAAAAAATAATAAACGTTCTCTTTCGGGAAAGTGACCCTGAGATCTTGGATTTCCTGGTCTGGATTCGCTCGTTGCTTGGGGGAGATGCCACAGCCACGGAGGGTTGCCAGCGATCGGGAATGGCAATGGCCCAGTGCCATCAAGTGGGAACCAGTCTGCCTGCTGCCCCAGGGGGCCAGGTGTCTCCATCCCGCTGCCTGGAGGCGTCCCACTCACTAGGGACAGCAGGGAAGGGAGACGGGGTGGGGGACCATGGCGGTCGTTGAATTGAGGAGACCCCACCAGCCAAGGCTGTTGTACTTCCCCTCCCCCACCCCCAGGAAGTTCTGGACTGGGAAAAATGGGAAGGAAACAGGACAGGGCCTCATGGCCCACTGGCTGGGCCAAGAGAAACGTGCCAGGGCAGAGGGGACAGCAAAGGGCGGGCACTCACCACTCCTCATCTTTGTGAGCCAGAAAAAAATCCTGCATCTGCTGCCTCCGGAAGTCCAGCTTGTAGTCATTGTAGCGCTTCACCGCCTCCGTCTCGTCCACAGAGTCGTCCAGCGACAGGAGGAACTCCTTGAAGCTCTTCATGACCGGTGGCGGCACTCCCAAGTCGATCTCTGCAATGCTGCCCAGCCTGGGGGGGGCCCGGTCAGGAGGTCTTGGTTGTGGGGGAAGAGGGTGGGGGGATAGGGGGCCGAGGTAGCCAGCGGCCCTCTTCCTTGGCCCACCATGGACACCAGCCCAGGCATCACCTTCGACCACCCCAGCCCCCCAAACTCACAGGCACCCCTCTGAAGGCCCGGCCCACTTCCTGGCACTAGTCTGGGCTTCAGAGAATCCCAAATGTTCCCCACACCATCCCCCTAGTCTACCAACTCCCTTCCCCCAGAACGTCGGATCTTTACCTGGCCTGGATAGGCAGTACATGATGCTGCATGATGTGGACGTCTGGGTGGCCCCAGGGCTGAGGGGGGCCATAAGTTGGGCCCCCACCCCCCCCAGCATAGGGCATCTCATAGCCACTGTGGTATGGGTCTGAACTGTGCTCATCCCTGAGGGTGGGGAGGGGACACAAAAGTCACAAAGAGAAGGCAAGCACCCCTCCAGAACACAGGAGGGGGAGAGGGCGGGCGGTATCTAGGGACGGGAACTCTCACCCAAGGGTTAAAGGGCCAGCGGAACATGAGCGCTGACAGACTTCCACGGAGGGTGAGGGGAAGAGAGAAGCCAGAGGCCCCAGCCACTCACCAGTCTCTCCGCATACGTTTCTGGGGGGGGCTGAGCTCCCGGCGGGGAGGGGAGAAGCGCTCTCGGCGATTCCTGTCATAGTCCCGGTATTCTCCCCGACTACGGCGTTCGCGGCCGCGGTCCCACTCCCTGGATGGACATAAACAAAATGTAGGAACCAAAGGGGTTGCTGGGTACCCCAACACTGTGGACCTCCTGGACAGACTTTTCCTGTCTGAAACGCCAAGATGTGAGACATGAGTTCCTGGCTGTGGCCTGTGGCTCTGGTCCTTGGGAACCAGCTGAAGAAACATTCTCGAGAAAGCTCTACAAAGCCCTGGGGGAGTAGGCTCATAACCAAACAGAAAGGTCAGCAATTCAATCCCACCAGCCCCTCGGCAGAGAAGACTTTCTGGTCCCATAAAGATGGCGACAGTGGGGGTACAAAAAGGGATTTCCCAGATGCTGCAGAATATCTAGTCAGATTAAGCGTCTGGCACTATCAGAGAGTACTATAAACTCAGATTATGGCGATCAAACCATGGAACAACATGATACTTGGTCAGCTGACCTCCCTCTTGACCCAACCTGAATTTGCTCTCGGCTCAACTATTTCTCACTTGTGAAACAAGAGACATTTCTACTCTGGTGTTTTTCTAATATTGTTGGTGGTCTTTTCATTCTTACTCTTTATTTTCTGTTTCATTTTGTTTTGATTGTTTCTGTTAGGGTTCCAGTTTGTGAAGCACAGGAGCGGGTGCATGGAGACAATCACTGATGCAAGGTTTACTGAGGGCAGGGATGGGAGCAAACAATGAATATGACGGGGGCAGGGGCACTAGACACATTGTGAAGAACTTTATGTGACTCTTTTTAAAAGCGATTTAACTGTGAAGTATATGGTATGTGAATATCATATAAGAAAACTACTTTAACAGCCCCCCCCCCCGCCCCCCCCAAAAAAACCTTGACCAATGGTTAACCATGGGTAGAGGAAAAGTTTTTGCTTAAGGGACAGTGAGTTTACATTAATGGTGGTGGAATAACTTGGAAAAGTTTATCAATATGATTGTACAACACAAAAAGCATAATCAATGGCATTGAATTATAATGTAGAAATTAAGAATGTATTGTGTATATTTTGGCACAATTTTTCAAATTACATGAATAACGAGTACAAGGAAGAAAATGTTCTAAATGTGGTAATGATTACACAACTCTTTTCGATAAGATTAAACTGTTCAACTGTAGTCTATACAACGGTTGGAACCGCTGAGGCAGTGCTAGCCTGTCCTGTGGAGCCACGGTGAGTTGGACTAAGCAGTGGTCTTTGCCTTTGTTGTGTCTTTGGAGACACCACTCAGTGAAGGAGCCTCCAGGTGGTTTTCTATCCCTGAGGTGGACTGCATGCTTTTTCCCCAGGCTGTTTCCAGGGCCGATTTGCATTTCTTGGGTAAGCTGTCCACTACCACGACTTGCTCCTTTTTGTCTGACCACAGGCTGTAGCCTGCCTGTGACTGCTCTATTTTACAAACTGTGCTATAACAAACATTTGCTATTCCAAGAAATGGTGCTTACGAGTTGGGCTGTGATTCACCAGGTAACCAGTTCAAAACCAGGAGCCTCTCTGAGAGAGGAAGACCGGGCTTTCTGTTCCTGCAGTCACAGGTTCAGAAAATGGTGCTTGACAGTCCACCTAAGGCAGTGACTTGGGATTGGTCAGTTTATGGGCCTACTAGGAGGATCATACTTTGAAGTTAACAAGGAGGCAGTTTATGTCAGCAGCCAACCCCAGAGAGAGAAAGTGAGGAACACTTACAGGAGCTGTAACATGGGTCAGGGCTGCGACACTGAAGATGGTGAGGGGCCCAGTGGCAGAGTGGGTAGTGATGGCCCAAAGCTGCTAATAGGAAAGCAGCTGCTATGCTAGGTTCGAGGCCAGGCCAGTTCATAGGGAAAAGGCCTATTGCAGGGAGGCTGCAAGGCCAAGAGGGACCTGACTGTTGGTACAGTCAAGAGAAAGACCTGAGGGAGCTGCCCCACACAAGGGCAAGAGGGATGTGCCCCCACCTGTGGAAGCCTTCTAAACTTGGCCTGGGGTCTTCGGATCCTGATCCAGATCCATGCTGGTTCTGTTACTTCCACATTGTTCTTAATTTCAAAACATAACTGTTAGCTCTCAAAAGTCACCTCCATCCACCTCTATCCAGTCCCCGCCAACTCAGAGAGACCCTTATAAGACAGGGTAGAACTGTCCCCTGTGGGTTTCCATGACTGTTTACAGGAGCAGCTGGTGGATTTGAAATGCTAACCTTGCAGATAACAGCCCAATGTGTATCCATCCACCAGGCACAGGGTTCCCTATGCTATCTCTCACATATCTGTGAGTTCTGTGTGGTATTTGCAGCATCAAGCCCAAAAGCCGGGAGAGCTGGTGTCAGAAAGGTGAAAACCTTGGAGTCTGGCTTTGAGCAGAGCATGAGGCCTGCCCCTCAGGAATCTGGGTCACTTCTGGAGCTTAGCAGCACAGGTAAAATGTCTCAAGTGATAAAGTTGCATTGTAAAATGAAACACTCCTGTCAACGTCCATCACTTCAGTCACTGCTCACAAACTCCAGCCAGTCACTTGCTTGAGCTCCAGACGCCCATCGGTAACTTCTAATGGGACTGCTAGGCAGTGCTGGTGGAGCAACAGCTACACGTTCAGCTGCTAACCAAAAGGCTGGCGGTTTGAAGCCACCCATGAGCTCCACGGGAGAAAGACCTGGTAACCGACTCCATCCATACAGATGACAACCCCGTGAACCCTCAGAGCCCCCTCTGTCACTTGGGAGTCCCTGTGACTGACAGCAACTAGAATACACTAACAACTCAAGCTCAGTTTGCCAGACTGGAGCCTGGCTTCCCAGTCAGTTCCACCAACACAGCACCATCTACCTAGTTAAGTGTCAGCCGGGATCCCAGCACACGTGTTACTGTTTGGTTAGCCCTTTCCCTTAAGGCCTATCAAAGCTGTCCCCACCTTCGCCATCTCCACACACTCGTATGCGGTCCCGTGCTCTAAGTGTGTGTGGGAAACTGAGGATGTATGGAGACAAAAATCTTTCTTAATATAAATAATTCTATTAGGAGCTCTTACAGCTCTTATTACAATCCATACATCAATTCTATCAAGCACATTTGTACATGTGTTGCCATCGTCTTCAAAACATTTTCTTTCTACTTGAGCCCTTGGTATCAGCTATTTTTTTCCCCACCCTCCCCCATACTCCCAGCAGACAAACTCTTTATTCTCATAATTAAGAAGCCTGGGAGGCCAGGGTTATGGATGGTGGGAGGCCTTCACGTTTGTGAGTAGAGTCCCAGTCACATTCTCATAATTAAAAATCATCCCCACAATATCCTCCCATTATAGTTCGACCTTAATGGCATCTCATAAGCATGTGGCTGATTGCGACCTATCCCTGCTCAGGGCAGTCACTCCCCTTTCCCTTCGCCCCTCTCCACCCCCCACCTGCACTGGTGTTAGGGTACTCCTCCAATGAACACAGGGACCTCTAGGATTAAGGTACTGCCCACTTCACTTCGCATGTACTTACCTGTAATTAGTGGGACTTGGATGCCCCATGACTACCTAAATTGGTGTAAGAATACATTCTCTCTCTCCCCAAACCACACCTGGTCCCTGATGCCATGGAGGAGGTGAGCACCCCAAAACTTGTATCTGCCTCTTCCCTTCAAATACACAAACAACTCTTAAGGCTGGATCCCACAGGTGTCTTCTAGAACTGCACCAATGGTTTGTTTCCTGCCCTTGGCCCCTCATCCGATCTATTTTACTTGGGAAACACTCATCTCACCACACCTTACTTGTGCTTAAATGCCAGCAAGTAATGCTGCTCCTCTCTGTTCAAAGTCATCTCCTTAGCCCGAACTCCAGGCTCACCTCAACGACAGACATTTTCAAATTTCTCGGTCTTAGGAACCCTACAAACTCTTCAAATCTGGGGATGTCAACTATGGAAATGGTGACCGCATCCTGCCCCCTGCCCCACCCCACTCCGGGAATGAGCAGAAACACGGTTGAAGGGAAACAACACTAATTTATCAAGGGGTAGGGGGGTAGGGGAGCTGATACCAAGGACCCAAATACAAAGTAAATGTGCAGGAAATGATAGCAACATATGTACAAATATGCTTGATACAACTGATGTATGAAATATTATAAGAGCTGTAAGAGTCCCCAATAAAATGGTTTAAAAAACAACAACTGGGAATGTCCAAGGGTCTGGGGGCTATATCCTTACTTATATTCTGAAATAAAGCAAACAAAGTATCCATTTAGTGTGTATAAATAACACGTTCCCGTGGGAAATGACTACAGGTTCACTTTACAGCACTTTAGGTTGCCTAGAGGCCTGTATTTGCGGGTGTTTTCACTAACCGAAAAACCCACACAGGGTTTACGCCTTCACAAAAAGCAAACCTAGCAGCCAGTGTTTGGTGGCACGTTATTAAAGTGGCAGCCAGCAGCGTCACAGCAGTCCGGCTTTGCAGGCCCCTTCACCACAATCCAGGCTTTATGTCTGTCATTCCTACTTGACCTCTGTACCAGCACCTCTTTTCCGCTTTAACTGCCCGTTGGGGCCATTTTACATGCAATGGGCTCCTCACTGAGATTTGGTTGGCTGCGCTTTGACCACTGTGCTACCAGGGCACATGTGTGGTGGGTTATTTGCTGAGTAGTTTCCCGTGTGAATTATGTCTTTGTTTTACGCCATTTCGGCTCATGAAAGATTTCATGGAGCACTCTACTTTCGGAGAGCAGGAGAAGCCTGTACTTCCCAGGACACTTTAGTGAGATAAATGGCACTGCCCTACATTTCTCAAATCTTTCTTTAAGGTCCAGTTTAACGGAAGACACTGGGTTCTGGTACGTGCTTCTTAGGCCAAGCCGGTTGCATCACATTGTTCTGGTAAAAACATGCAGGCAAGCAGTCTCCCCCTGAAAAGGACCAACTCTGACAGCTTTCCCAAACAACCATCTTCTCCAATCCTTCCCAAAACAAGGTTTACAGGTGATTGCCCTGTAGCGTCTACATTAAAAGCCACAAGGAGCCCTGTGCTGTAATGGTTACACATTGGGCTGCTAACTGCAAGGTCAGCAGTTTGAAACCACCAGGAGGAAAGTAAGGCTTTCTACTCCCATAAAGATTTATAGCCTCAGAAACCCAGAGACAGTTCTACCGGATTCTACACAGTCGCTCTAAGTTGGAGTAGACTCCATGGCAGAGTTCAATTTTACATTAAAATCCATGGTTCTCTCTTGCTCTTCAAATGAATCTTGACACATGTCACTCAACACTATAAAAATACCACCTTAAAAACACATGCTCAAGTTGTATTTAATAAAATTAGTAATTTTTACTGTTTCACCGAGGGCATTTTTAAGCACAACTGGCTTTTATTTTTTTACTGTGAGGTGTGGCAGTGAAACATTAAATGTTAACTTAATGTTTGCTACAGTGCCAGCAGATGTATCCACAATCAGCATATAAATGTCAACAAAACCCACTCAAAGTGACTGGGTTAGCAGTCCGTTCTTAGCCTGAAGGCTCCTTTGTCAATACAATGAAAGCACCACTATTACTATTCAAACTTTTAACCTCAGGGACCACACTGTGAACCACTGCCTAAAAATGAATCCAGAATTGATACTGCTTTCTGCACACAGCTTACACCCACAATTTCAAGATGTTCACGCCATCTGTGTTTGGGGACTCCCCACTCATCCCTCAAATGCCACTTCTTGGAGCTCTCCCAGACAGGCCATCCCCCTCCTCCCTCCTTTCCAAGAAGCCTCACCGGGGACCCCTGTTCTTCCAGTGTGCTCATTAGCAGCATAACCCCCAGGCCACTCGGTACCCCTGAAGGGCCATGACCACAGACTACATCGTGAGTCTGTCTGCAGGACACCTTTGGCTGCCTTCCACCATTCTTAAACAATGCCCAAAAAACAAAAACAAAAACTTGGTGGCCACAGAGGGTGGGGGAGGTCTCAACAATTAATTGGCTTACTAAACATTTTTCCAAAATGCCGTTTAACTAAGTCATCCCAACTCTTTATGACAACCTGTCTCCAACTCACTCACAGAAGACCCGTCGATAAAAACCGACAAACCCTTTCATATTTCCTCGTGCCTTGATTGATCTCACTGAAGCCAGTCTCAGAAATGCAAAGGAAACACTTTGGAAACAACTCAAAAGACATCTGACAAGCTCATCAATGGCGGTTCAAACCTCATCAATTAACTCAAGCAGCCTTGCTCAACGAACTCTTCTTGAAAATTTAGGTCCAACAATAAGAAATTTTATCAGATCCCGTCAGGGAGCTAACCGGTCTGACTACCTTCCCAGTGAAGTTGTAATATGCATATGTAATCTGTATCTAATATGACTGCTTGAGTCAACTCTCCCAAGGTACAACTTACAAACCATATGAAGCGTGTATTTAAGCATTACTTCTTTAGTGCTAAAGATGCTTAGATTCATTCCTTTGAGCTTCCGGACAGTTCAAAAAGCAAGCGTTGACGAACAAGGACCTTCAAGCGATAACCTATTTTTTCCCCCACTCACTTTTTGAAGGCATCTAGTTTATTAAAAAAAATTAAAAATTCGTTCTCATAGTAAAAAAGAACAAATTGTACAAGAGAGAAAGTGCTTTTGAGAGCAATTCAGAGCTAAGCGGACAATACTAGGGAGGGCTAAAACTAAGTTTCCTTCGTTTATAGTCCTTCCTGAGCTGAGAAGAAACCAACCGCAAACAGGTGAAATATTATTTTTGCACATTGGCGTACACCAAGATAGCCAAGCATCAGCAACGCCCGAAGGTCCGCTCTAATACAATTACAGGGGAAAAGCCGAATGGGGGGGGGGGTTGGGCACGAGGGGGGGCTCACCGGTCATTCCAATCGTCCCCTCGACGCCTTTCATCTCTTTCCCGAGAACGGTCGTAGTCGCTGCGCTCTCTCCTGAACTTGTCCCTACGTCTCCGGTCATACTCGTCATCGCTGTCACCCATAGCGCGAGGTGAGCGGGCCTGGGGTCCACGGTAGGAGGGCGGGGGTGTCATGATGTTGACGGGCAGGAGCAAGAAGAAAGGGCCGTCCCCCCGCTCCGCAGCAGCACGCCCGCCTCCCTCCCTCCAGGCCTGCCTTCCGTTGCTCCCGCCATCCTAGAATCCCTCTCCTCCGGCACACGGATCGGACGGGATGGCTCGACCTCCACTCGCCCCCAGGGGTCTCCCGGCTCCACCCCTAGCGACCCCGACCGACAGCGGCCTCCAACGGTTGCCGGCGGCTCCCGGGCTCGGGGG